CAGCCAGTTCCCACTTTGTAGATAGAGTACAAACATGAAATTGTGGAACACTTTCCACTACTTACTATAAAATAGTGTTAATTAAACAATAGAAAATAATAGAATTAGCATAATTTAGCAGTATTTAGTGGTATTTATATTGCACATTTTTAGTGTTTGTACTATATTACAAACTGAAAAATTGAGGCTTCTGTAAGGTCAATGAGTTGACAGGCCTCATTGCTCAGTACTTCAGTGAAAAATATTGTTTGCTTGAATTTCGGTCTGAAGATAAAAAGTGTCTGATTACCGGAGTGTTTCATGAGTAAAACAATGAGACTTATTATATATTTAATATAAACAATTGTAGTAGTTGTTTTAACAACCAAAATGGAAAATCAGCCAATCAGAATGCATCTTTTTGATAACTGAGGACTCTAGTGCTGGTAATCTGTGAATGTGTTATTAACCTCAACTTTGAATGGTGAACTGGTTATTTTGAACAATACATATAATATTTAGTTCCAAAGTAGGTCTTTACAATGCAAAATKTTACAAAACTGCACCTGTGCACACTTGAAACTATAGACTGATCATAATGTATATGTTCAGACCTCTAGGTAAAATTGGCATTGAACCATTGTATCCAACACGGTATTGCAGCAAACTCTGACCACATCACTGGCTAATGTTTCAAGTAGTGCATTAACAAAGAACTGGACTAGTGTTATTGGCATATATGTATGCTAAAGACAAGTACAGTAAACAATTCAGGTGTGTTAAAGGGTTTTGTGAATAGCACTAAATTCCACAGGGAGACCAAGCAATGGCTTTGAATCTAAATAAAATTTTAGATCWAAAAATCGTTTACTTTTATATTTTATTTAGCCTCACTATGCATTRTAAATGGGTTTGAAAAARATCTGCCTTCCCTATATAWATATAGAATGACTATACTTATTTTTAACAATATTATAGATTCAAAGTCATTGCTTGGGCTCCTTCTGCTAAATTCAAGGGCTGACAGCAGCTTTACAGTATGTCAATTAAAGTGAATGTGCAAGAACAGTGTGCAAATTAACTAACAGAAAAAAATGTGTTTGACTTTAAACTTTTTATCAYCTTTAGTAAAATAAAAAATGTGCACCATACAGTGTGAGCAAAAAGTCTATTTTGTGTCTAAYCAAAACGAAAATTGTTGCGACTATTTTAGATCTAATGGTCATTCATTGTAACTTGCCTGAAAAATGTGATCACTGCATAATTATAAAATACAATGCCGTTTTAGTAAAAAAAACACTGATAACCAATATTCAAGTCTTTGACAAATAATGTTCAATTTAGTAGTTCAGTACTGCAACCACATGATATAAYTAGCAAAGTGAAACTAAGTGCAATTATAACACAGAACCAGTCATATCTTATTATATACGTAAAGAAAGTGACGTGAAATACTTTAAACCCTTTTTAAATGGCCTGTCATTTCCTTCAACAACTGCCGTAAATATATCTTCAAAGKAATACTTTWGCAGAAATTGGTGCTTCCTGGTTTGCTGTTGAACTAAGTTTCCAGACAGTGCATCTTCACCAACCCACCACTTTCTTTGCAATTTGCCACCCTGAGACTCGTACATTGACACAGCATCCTTTTCAGATGGAAGAGTACTCTGGTCTAGTGGTTCCAAGTGATTGGTTTTCTGTTTTATGTCTGAAGGAACACCATTGCCAAGCTTTCCTGGTAAAGATAAAATCAAAACATTCAGTGTAGCTTTCAATGCGGCTTAGGAAACCCATGAAGATATAATTATCACATAATATTATATGGATATTAGACTTGTAATCATGCAATGTGTGTTTCCAAAAAGCTGCAAAGTTTCATATAAAGTAATAGTCATGGGGATAAAATCAAAGCTACATGTATTACATGAATATGAAGACCGCATGGCACTATGATAAACAGGAAAATACATGTAGGAGATGAAATAGAGGAACATTTAATCTGAATAATTCTTTGAGATCTTCACCCAACATGGATGATAAATGGTAAATAAACATACCTTTTATTTTATGCAAGTTCCATGCAGCTACAAATHGTATCATCCCCACTCTAGCTACCTCACATGAAAACCATGATACACAAAACTGAACTTGTTCATTAGTCATATCTAAAGCTCCACTTTCCTCCATGGCTAYGAGTATCCGTTTAATTGGGTAATTCACCCTGGCATTTACCTCTGGCCATATCCGTTCAATCGTGAGGTTTTTCTTTGAGGTTGTTTTCACATGTGCAGCCCTGCTTTGATCTTGTCTGTGTCTGGTCAATAATTCCTGAGTAAACAATATCAAGACCCATTCTTTGCCCATATCTACACGTAACTGATCAAAAATACCTGTTTCCAAAAGGATGGGCCTGAAATTAAAACAAAAACAAAACTCAAGTTTTGAGCACAAAAGAACAATTAAGGCTTTGTTTTCAGGTGCATGCTTTCACAGGCTCTACTTATCGAAAACATATTTAGAAAAAACATTATTAGAATCATACCCAGACCACTGTCACTTGCAAAGATGGCCACTCATAAAAAGGAACCATCACCCAAAATAAAACAAAAACAAACTTGGAATTCTAGGACATTTATGTTGCTAGGTAGCTTCATTATAATAGTCGGTGCTATGTTTCTCTAGCAAAACTTTATTTTAATTTAAAAATTCAAAAAACTAAAACACTAAGCTTTCGGACTTGGAATTGGTTTTGTGTGTATTATATAAAGACTTACCTAAAAAAATTGCTGTACAATTGAATTGGGTTTTTTGATGGTAAGGTAATCCAGTTTTCTATGAATCCACTATGGCCATCCCTCAGAACTACATGCACCACCCTAACAAGCTTCTCGTTTTGGTCGATATGGCCACGATAACCAAAATATGGAGCATAATAAGGAATTGGATTTCTCTTATCAAGYAGGTCATGTTTTCTTTGTTTAAATGCAATAGGGTTGGCTTTCTTTTGTATCTCATGAATAGTAGCTCTAGAAAACTGGACACCCTTAGTACGTAAATACCCTTGTAATGTTGAGGCTCCATAGGTTGGTCCAACCTGGAAAGATTTTGATGGAACAAGCTTCATACAATGAAATAAYTATATATTCAGAGTAATAAAAACCACCAGCTATTTTGAAGAAAATTACTCTGTTAATTTTGAATAAATTGATTTTGATAAATTGATGGGGTCCGTACGCCTTTTCGCGACAGGTCCGTACAACATTAAAAAACGCTGTCACATGATAAAATGCTTATTGACTGAGTTAGGTCGGGCCGTAAGGGAAAATATTTGRCTCTCGGTCATTTGTCGCTCGTTCCGTACGGCATAACCTCGAGCCAAATATTTTCCCGTACGGCCCTCCCACTCAGTCAATATAATAAGTACATAGTATGAAATTTTCTCTTTGATTTCANATACTTGTCCTTGATAGTCCACGCGTAATGTTAGGAAATTCTTTCTTTACATAAATTTCTACGTCTCTCAAAAAGCCACCAGAGCCAAGAATAGTTTGGATCTCTTCCTGTATTTCCAAGGAGTCAAGGTGTGCAAGAAATTTCGGGTGCAAGAAATGATAAATAAAGATTAAACTCACTTCATTGAGCTAACCAGTCGATCATGTTTGTTTGAATCGTTGAAAATTGCGCTGGCTTTTCCCGCTCCGTGACAAGCTCGTTCCCAGGGCCTTTTTTGGCCATATAGAGCATTGTACCTGGAAACGATGTTTACAATTAATGCGCACTTAAAAAAATACAAGTGTTGCGAGTAGTTGATGCGGAGACCGTTAACTCCAAAATATCTGTGAGTAAAAGTCGTAAAAACAGACTTGGTCCCAAACATGCGATCGTCTTCAACCACGATTTCGACAATTTCAAAACATTCCCAAAAAGTAAAAATACTTGAACTAATTATGAATTCGTGTTGTGAAAGCACAGTTCTTACTTTGGATAAATATGTTGAGATATTTCTAGATCCTTACTATAGAACGAATGTTCGCGTTTTCATGAAGTGTTCTTTACGTATAAAGTGGAAATTCAGGGACCGCGGAGAGTGTTTTATGTGGGGAGTGGGGCGCGAATTTTGTAGGGGGTCCGGTACAGGTAATTTTTTTTATCTCGCTCTTGTCAACAAATGTAGATATCGGGCAGGAATAAAAAAACACGTCAGCCGTCAGAGCTAGATTTCCAACATTTATTGAAAATACGCTTCAACTAAAATGAAGAATTGAAAAAATAGATGGGAAATTACATAATGTACTAAATCATCATTAAATGTTTCAGTAAAGAAAAATTACAATAAAGTATTTCGTATGAGTGGGACACCGTTACCGCACGGTTACCGCACGGTTACCTCACCTGGCCTGCAGAATTTTGGTGAAACAADGGGGCACTAGAATTTGGTTACAGTACGATTACGGACACAGTACAGTACCGTCCGTTTCCCACTCATACGAAATCCGCTCTAATTTACCAAATTGTGGCTTCCCACCATTGTCCTTATGATCTTTCAGCAGCAAACCAGGTACCACCTGGCAGCAAACTGAATAAACGGAAAAATATATATGCGCGCGGAAATTTCGTTGCCTAGCAACCTTACGGACTGTAGTCCGCTGGATGAAAATATCGAGCAAACTAACATGGCGGACAAAGTTGCACGCGTTTGCCAATAGTTGACGATAGTTGACAAATTCCGAGTAAAGAATGTGTTTCTTAAAGTTTAACGTTTGTAAAAGGTAAGAAAATAAGAGTCTAGAAATGAGTTAGACAAATAACGATAAATTACAAAATGATAAAGTCATTTTAAAATTTGTTTTATAGTCGAAGGTTTGACTAAAAGTTCTTGAGTGTTCGTGAAATCTGTGTAGAACAACCAGAACAACAAATTTGGAAACATTGTGACTCAGACTTTTTGTCAATGCAAAAAAACTTCTCTGTGCTGGTTTTGTTTTATTTTCCCTCACATTCGTGCTTATAAATCCCTGTATGCAGGGTCTAGTTATATCATAATTAGTAGAGGGGATTCCCCTGTTCTAACTTTGGTTATATATAACTTCAAATAAATGCAGTTTAATTCCGTGAATTGGCCAGTCTTTGTTTACAACATTTTGCTAATTAGCATGCAGTTTAAATTTAAGTGTAAAATATGTTCATAACGTAAAAGGCTTGTTTAAACTAGGAAACTATAATCTCTCTAAAAATTTGAGTGTTTAAAACCATTTGACGCAAAAACTATTTCATTTGGGAAGCACAAAATTGCAAGAAAAGCTGATTGTGCTGTTGTTTTAATATTCAGTGCTGATTATTTAATGATAGTTAAGTTGAAAAGTTATATGTTATACGTTTATGATAGTTAAGTTAAAACAGCTAATGATATGCTAATGACCCGAGTGTAAACAGTATTCGCCTATAGTTGCAAAAGTGATTTTGTACACAACTAACGACATTCTCTTCCCCGATAGGTTGTCTAAACGTCTGCGAAGGAAATTCTTGTGGTGGAGTTTTAATTGATCTGCCTAGAGATATAAGCAAGTGTACCCTTTCAAACTATTTGATGCTTTGATCTCAGCAATCTTGTGCACCATCACTAATACTTATGGATAAGTTAATTGGAGGTTGTGCAATGTGTTTAAAGAAAATTTCTATGGTGAATGGAGCGTTGTCTTCAATGGGGCATGATATTTGCCATCTTTTGTGGATAGATGGGACAATAATAATTAGAAAACCATTGGCTACTATAAGAGGGCATGTGTGACATGTTTAGTTTCCATTTCTCTTCCTTCGTCCAAGCCAGGTCAGTCATTGCTACAATGCAGTAGTATAGAAACTGAGTCCTCATTATCAAACATAACCAAAAGACAGAGAGGATCAAAGCCTTAGAGTGAAACCACTCGCTCATCTTTTCACTTGAGCTTTGATATCATTTCTCATGTCACTCTAGAGTACACTCAATTGTTTAAGACTTAAAGCCCCGTCAAAGTGAATAATTTTCTATCCATTAATGTTTTTATTAACAACTGCAAATGCACAGCATATCACTTGGTGTCTCAGCATTGTCTCTCAAGATTACTGACATTCTCTGGACTCATGTGGATGCACAGAGCCTTAGGCAATAGATACCAAGATCCCACAATATGTCATTGTCATGAAATCATAATTTTTTGAAGAAAAACCCTGCCCTTCATTAGCTGCTTCATGTAACACACAATTTCATAGTCACAATTAAGATAATCAAATACATTTATTAGAACAAATCTTTGTGATTTAACAGTTCATTTCAAATGTCAATATAGATTTCAATGATTATATCACCATTGAAACTCAACCGTACTTCCTTAAGGGTTCAGGCTACTAGTCAAGTGCCAAAACAAGGAATAAGATTCTGATTAAAGCCATTAATTTGCAATGAAAAATTATTATTATAATTCTTATAATTTGCAAACTTCATACAAAACAAATATTGAATGAAAACTATYAGGTAACACAGTATAGTGCTAGCAACCTTCCCATCATAATATTTCATTTGGACATACCCCCTGTCAATATTTTGTGTTCTGCATGTAATTGTAGCCAGAACCCTTACAATGGTAAGCAAAGATATACTACGTAGTTATACTTGAAATATGCAACAATTGTACTACAGAAAAAAGTCATTTCCTGACTATAGTTGCCAGTTCTGGCATTCCTACATATGTAAGAGCATAATTGGATAGAGTGGCCAAGCATGCCCTGTCTTTGCTTAAAAATAGTCATTTTAGGTAATAATTAAACAAAAAAAAGAAACATAGCATTTCATTAATAGTGACTGATACATAACCCTAAAATCAACCAAATGTATCTAAGTGATTGCTTTTAAGCTAGAATTGCTGTAAATTGTGAAAAGCTTCCAAGAGACTAAAACTCTGATTAGTTTAATAAGTAATAATCTGGCCATTAAAATGTCATCATTTCAGCTATAATTGTGGAAGCAGGAATAAATATAAAATGTTAAAAAAGTGTTTAGTAACTACTTTATGCTTAAAGAACAGTCATTTTAGGTAATAATTAAAACAAAAAAAATGAACATAGCAAGAAAAAAGGACTATTCATTGTGGAAAGTCACCGATTAAATTTTAGATTTTGGTCAGTAGTATTACATGCAAGCATGCCTTAGAGAGTACTATGCTTTAACTTTGAAAATAAGTACTTTTTTCTAAAAAATAGCAATATTTCACAAATGAAAATGGCAAAAGTTGAAATTAATTAATTAATTTTTGGTCACTTTTCTTTTGAAATATTTGTTCACATGTTAATCTAAAAGAGCAGCAGTAATGAGATCATGCTGAGAGTAATTGTTGAGTTGCAAATGAGATTAAAAGCAGTTTTTGTTGCAGACATTACCCTCTTGCATATCAAAGTTTTGAGGCCTGAATAATCAAGCTGAAATGTTGTAAAGAAAATTTGGCAATTGCAAAATGATTATTGGAGTCTCTTAGTGCTTGAGGGTTTGTATTTGCACCTCTAGGCATATTTCCAGTCCATAATCATGACAGATAAAATCTACATGTAAATGGCTCAAGATTCTCACTAACACTATGCCGCGTTTAATGCCCTGCTGCAGAGCGGGCGTGGTCATTTTTTTCAAAATAAACTGTGATAAATTATGTTAATTCCGTATATTGACAATAATAAAATATGGTTTTGATAAAGACTTAAAGGTTTTTGAAATTCAAGATTTTTCTCTGTCTCATGTGGAATTGACCTTATATGACTTTTCTATTACAATAAACTCTCTGAATTATTCTTTTATGTATGTTCCTTCTAAATTTGGCCAATAAACCATTTAAATAATTTCCAGTGTGTTTAGAAAAGAAACTAATATAAAATTTAATATTGTTTTAAAAATTAATCATATATTTTTTCATGTGAATTTTATTGAACTTATAATCATAAAATTATTTTTGAATTTGATTTAACTGAGAATAAAGTTTAATTTATTTTAGATAATATCTAAAGCAAATTTACAAAAAACAAACTTAAAGAAATACCAGTGTCATTTTAGCCAAATGTGTTTTCATTAAATTAATATTCTAAGAATGTCAAATACAGCACCCTGGTACCTGTCCTTGGTAAACTACTTTATGGTACTTTGAACAGCATTTTGAAATATTTTTCTTAACTTACACACAAAAGACAATTTTAGACCATGATTTTAGTGGCTGCAGGATGTGGTGGTTCATGTTTAAATTTCAATAACTTTGTCATCAATATGAAGTTAAGCAGTGGCCAGGCATATTTTTGCCATAAAAAATTATTACTGGACTACTTAATCCAATTAGCTGTTTCAAAACAGTTTGCTTTTGTCAAAACTCCAATATGTCTTGAAAGGTGTCAGACATTCCAGTGGACTTTCCTATCTAGAACCTTGTATATGCATGTGACTATACATGTAAATTTAAGGTATATTTTCTCTGAATACTATCCATATCATCAGGCAAAGTTAATATATACTAGACTGTACAATTTCACTTGTCGTGATCACATTTATGAACATGTACAAAATTAATACATTTTACAGAYSTCAATCAATCTGTTATCTTAGACTATGAGTACAAAAACAAATTGATTCAAATATTACCATCTTTTTGCTGTAATCCTTTTTCTTGTGAAGAATTGCAAGTGCTTTTGTAGAGACTTGGCATGCTTTAATTAACAACACAAATAATTTTGCAATATCTTTACTCTATCTATTTGTTTTTATTTTTTTTCAATAAATTGTAATTTTGCAAATAGAACCTTTATGTTTTAGACAATTAAACTGCTATAATCCCACTTCAAAACTCAAGTTCCACCATCTTTGTACAATAAAAACAGCAAAACTCMTTTTAGCAAATATCTATTAAAAACTGAACCAAAGAGAGGATGTTAAAATGAAGTGTTTTTTTTTTGTAAAAAAATGTGCTTACAGATTAATRAATAATTTGCATGATTTCCTGTTTGTCAAATGCATAACTGTACATATTTCAACACTGTATAATTTCCTAAAATACATACAGGTCAAATCAGCATCCATTCAACCTGTGGAAAAATCAGTAAATTAAGGCAAAACCTAATGGAAAATGGAATAGAATAATGATTGTCCAAAATTTCTTACTTGCAGGGAGAAAAGGGACTTTATTTTACCACCCATGACATCCAACATTTAGGAAAAGAAATGCTACTATGTCTTAAAGCCATGATGATCAACATCAATTCTCACTTGCCCAGGCATGAATCAAGTCCAGTTTCTTTGTTACTTAACTGTAGCCTCATGTATGACACAAAGAGAAAAAATGAAATTTATAAAGAATATGAAGAATTGGAGGTTGTTGGCAGCCTGCGGTGTACTGAATACAACACATAAGGTTTTTGTGATATGCTATTGCAGAGATGTTAAAGTCACAGAGTTTAAATTGTAGACCAGACTGTAAAGAAAACCAAAGACTGTTTAAAACTTTTATTTACTCTAAAAGTTAATCAGTCATGAATTTTATCCCCTGATACATGTAACACAACAAGCTAAAAAGATTGGGTTAAGTTCAAGGTTTAATCTAGTATGAAACTTTTATTTGAACAAAACTAAAATTACATGATCTATTTGGGTAACTTCAACAAGATAGCATAAATATCTCAACAATACATTCTAGACCACACCCTCACCTTACAGTTCATCAACCAGCTAAGACAAAAATGATGTCCAGATGGGAAATGTGACAGAATGTCATAGGTAAAATGGCAAAGTTTCAGCTGTGTACAATATTAGGTAAAGTAGGTGTGGTCATGTAACCCCTAACTGCAAAAGCACTGATTCGTAAAATTAATAGCTCTTGATGAATCATTGCATTTTATCAACCTACAATACTATCAAATGAGTAATATTGCATGTATTCCATAGATGTTTCATTGATAATATTTAGATGTTTGAAATTCTTTAAAAATGTTAGGTGCATACAAGCTATAACAAGCAATATAAGAATTCTTTAATACAACTGACAAAAATGAAAGCCTCCCGCCATCAATTCTCTTCATTGGTGATAAATAGCCAACTCTAAAATTAGATGTACATTTTACAGCATTTCAGAATTTGTTTAACATGCACTGTGTGAAATAAATCAAGTTCAGTTTTAGGCCCTGTTTACATGAGATAGTGTGCACCTACTTGGTAGGGCTAACTCCTTTGTTTTTTCTTTTCCCTGGAGGATTGAAAACAAAAGAGTTTGGCTCTACCCCCTATCTCATGTAACCAGGGCCTTAGTAGCAGAATATATTATTATTAGGCACTTTAAAGAAATGCCATGATAATGATCTGAATTGACTTTCACAACAACAACTGTCAAGTTATCAAAAGTGTCATTCTGCTCAAACAGAATGCACTGATTTGATGGAGCATGGCAAAATAACCAATTATCTCCAGCAGGGAGTTTGTTCTTGATATCCTTAAGATTAAAGCTATATTTGTTTTTAAATCATGAAAAATAATACAGTTTGCATACTAGAAAGAAAAATTCCCATATGCTTAAATTTTTAAAAGATATCGTACTTAAATTTTCAGAGTGGTTATTTTGGCATACTCAAGATCTCTGGTACATAAAACATCTTGCACCATGTACAACGACTTGACTTGGTCAATGTGTGATCATGTCCTGTAAAAAAGTCCTTAAAATACATGTTTGTAATTCTTTTGATTTAGAGGCTTGTTTACATGTAGTTGCATCTTACTGTGAACACAACACCAAGGATATTGTCAAGAGAACTCATTTTTCATGTGAGGAACAAGGTTCTTGGTAGTCAGAGAGTGAAGTTTCTCAAATTCATGAATTTTTATAATTATTGGATGTCTAGCACAATAGATAGTAAACCACTTCAAATAAGTGAGGTTACTTTCATTATAATTCTTCAAGAAAAAGATGTGAGTCAGTGATATAGCAAAACATAATAGGAATATCGAATGGATTCAATAATTTATAGTACATGTGATATTAATTATCAATTGGAAAATTATATTCAAGCAGTTAGATCAAACACTCCCACTTAATTTGTTTGATTAGCAAACAATATTTAAAAGCATCAAACCAAGTTTTTAAATACTTYCATACTATTTCCTGTTAAGTTCAGCCCTAGCTCAGTGTTCTGATGCACTGATCAAACACTTGTTTTCAAGTATGATCTATCTGCTACTAGCAGTTATTTTAAATGGTCAACTCAATTATTGGTCATGGCTTCTTTGCACTTCAAAATATATTTTACCCTTTTCTTATATAAARATGTAGTAGTCTTTTTAATTTATGGAAATTATTATTTTTTCCATCCCACATGACTGTTTCCCAAATGAAAAATTTAACAGATTAAAGCTGTTAATAATTACCATTTAAACATGTATTGCATCAACTGGTAATTTTAGAACCTTTTGTGAATCTCCATCATTATTCCAATTGATTCCAAATGATTCAATGAGAGTATTATTTTGAAAATATTGAATTCAATTTTAATTATAAAATATGAAAAGAAGATGGATCTTAAATTTGATCTTTTTAACACTACACTGCTGCCATCATGATTTTCAAAKAAATTCTTAAAGTTATGCCATATTGAATAAATTTCTTTCCAATAATCCCTATCCTGTGATTCAAGATGGCAGCACTTATTGGTAATGGTGATCTATTCAAATTCTATATTTTCATGCAAGACATGTTTAAATGTGAATCACTACTAGTATCACTTAATTATCACTACTGGAGGACAATGTGTGAAATAGATGTGAAAAAAGTGTGAAAAGTATGTGAAAACAATAAGCATGTGAAATGACATGTGAAATATTGCATGTGAAATATTCAACCATGTGAAAAAACATGTGAAAATGTTTTAAGAATTTCACATGCATGTGAAAAAATTCAAATCCTTACAGAACCATGTGAAAAAACATGTGAATTTTTTTTAAGAATTTCACATGCATGTGAAAAAACTCAAATCCTTACACAACCATGTGAAAAAACATGTGAATTTTTTTTAAGAATTTAACATGCATGTGAAAAAACTCAACGGCTTACACAAGCATGTGAAAAAAACATGTGATAAAGTATACAGAATTTCACACGCATGTGAAAAAACTCATGATGGAGCACAGCCATGTGAAAAAAAGACGTGAAAATTGTAGATCGAAATTTCACATGGATGTGAAATCACATGGGTGTGGAATGACCATGTGAAATAATTTTGAGCATTACAAAATAAACAATTTCACATGCATGTGAATTTCCATTGACCATGTGAAAAAACATAAGACATGCAGAGACAAATTTTCATATGAGTGTGAAAACATATTCATGTAACTTAATGTTTATAATATCATATCAATAACCGTGAACATGTAAAATGATAAAAATCTAAGGTTAAAACCTAAAAATATATTTCGCATGCATGGTAAATGCATACATATTTTCGATCAACACAGAAAAAAAAAATTTTGTGTTTGCTCCAGAATAAAATTCCTTAAAAATTAACATTTYAAAAACTATTTCTGACATTTCTGCTACACGCGCGGGTTCTTCAAAACAGTGCGCCATTTTGTTTCCTGTGCCCTGATATTTAGTCATGTGACTTAAACAACCAATGAGACCGCATCTATATCACATGACTGAGCTACTGTTTGATTTGGCGCTCGAATTCAATTCAAACCGTTTCTCAGTTGTGAACCCGTCTTTTCGTCTTGTTTTCTTCTTGTGCATTCAAGTATAAAGCTTGAAATCGAATAGAAAATATATTAGTCAGTGTCTTTGAAGATAAAGACGATGTCCGATGTGGCAACGGAGGAGCTGGAAGATCCGATCTTAAAAGCAATAATCGAACTCTCGTTCGTTTGATGGCTGCCTTGTGTCATTTGGTTATACATTTAACGGTGAGTTACAATTATACCTCGTTTTGTAGGCAAT